ATCTTGGATAGTTTTATTGAAAAGGGCACTCACTAGTGTATTCTAAGATTTAGGGGGGAGTGTCATTAGTAGTAAAATTGCTAAGGTCAATGTTTGGAAGCTTGTTACGAAGAGAAGCTAACGCACAAACATAATCATAATCCATACTATATATGTCGCTATCATGTAAGATGTGGTCTTGCAATACCCAAGATTGGGCCCTTGAGGCAACAAAAGCATCTAAGGTAGCCTCTACTTCTGGTTATAAAACCAAACCACCAAACCTAATGGGTAGGGTAACAATTCTCCACTGTATGTCACTAAAGAAAGGACGACCACAAACCACAATGTCCTTAATCTCACTGCATAACCCATTGTTAAAGAACAATGTCGCCTCCTCCATGTAAACGGGTTGGCACGTCCTCAGCCCAAAGAAAAGTTTAGTAATACCCATACAAAACCGAGGTAGAAGGAGCTCACTCTGTGGGTCAGGAAATTATGGAAGAAGGCACATTAAATTCACAATGTTTTCAGCTCTCTCTATGGCTACGCTGCTAATAAAACTAACATCTCTATTAACAACTCCCCTGAGAAGTTTCACCTCCAATGGCGGCCTCCTGATGATAATTGGTAATAGCCCATTCACACAGCTTCCTACCATCACATGAGGGACAAAAGAGCTCGGTTTTCTTGATATTCAACTAAAGGCCCAATTTTGGGCCAATAACCTTAATGATGTCTAACACTTTGGCCACCTCCTACGAATCTCCAATAAGTGTGCCGTCAACAAGGTATCATGTATGGAGAATAAGCTTTCAATTATCTCTAATATTATGTAAGAGCGAGTGAAACATAAGGGAAAATAGAAGTGGTCCCAAGGGGTCTCTTTGCTAAACTCCAATAGTAGACCAAATACGTGTGTCTCCTAGATATAACCTTGTTGCATTAGCACATAGGAATTCTACCCACAAGGATATAGAAGGTCACCTCAATCTGACCTCATGAAGTAATGTAGATATGTCAACAAGGTTAAAGGCATTGTTGAAGTCCACAATAAGCATGGAAAGAGACTCGTCATTATAGCCCTCACTCAACACCCTGTTAACGCTATGTAATATGGCTTCAGCGCCACCCGACACCCCGACTCGAACTGAATATCATTGGGATACTTGTCCATTTCTTTACCAACACCTTTCATAGCCAGCTTGGAAAACAAACATCTCCATATAGTGCCTACTGCAATAGATTGTATTCCATTGTCAGGTTTTAAGAAAGGTATAAGAGGAACAAAGGCAATAAATTATGCCAAACTCGAAGGGATATCTCCCCTAACCATAGATCAACCACACATGTAATAGAACATAGGAGGTCTTTGGCTATAGCTGAACCTTCTCCACAAAGAGCATCTAAAATGTGTCGAGCTCTCAACCCATCTCTCCAACACGAGGTTCCTTTAGGGAATAATTTACCCCCCCCCCCCCCCAAGGACATTGTCAATATCCACTACAAGGGAAGGTACTTAACATATGATGATCAACATAGATGGTGGTGGCTTATGTGGATGCTTATCCTCTAATGTCTTCGTAGTATCATCCTCGTATGGAGTAACCCCCTTGGAACATAATATTTTCACTATTGTTGTGAAATGCCCATCTGCAACCTTACAGAGACATTGGTTCCACCCTGTATTTTATCCTCCTGAATGTACTCTTCTTTTTTGGCTTGTTGCTCCAGCCTTGCATTGTCAGCCAAGTTTTTAACAAGCTTGGCTATACCATCTTCTCTACCCCAAGTAGCTAATGCACTTAGGATATTACGATGCTGCAAGGACTTCCTGTTCACATACCTACTTTCTTGCTTATTCTTGGACATGAACACACATAGGAAGAATTAACAATGTAACCTATGCTTCAACGAATCTAGGATGAGAAGCCACCTTGGAAAGTACCACTTTCAAAGTCTGAGAGAAAGCCATACGATAGTTATGAGAGATGCTTTTGACTGTGGTGATAGGTAGCTTAAACAAACGATCAAGGAGTTGAGCATCCAAAACCAACCCCTCATTGAGTTCGGCCTCTGGTTTATTGGGTGGCGACTTTTGAATATCAAGAATATGTTCGCTCATGTCATCAACCTCACCATTGAATTTAACAAGACCATTTGAGTGAAGATACGAGAGGCTTAGGACATGCAGACTCATAAAGTCCCTATATATCCATTGACCAAACTCCTTCAATGTTGCTGCCATTGACATAAAAAACCCATGTACAAAGAAATAGCCTCTCGCAACACAACTGTACGCTCATCTGTAAGGAGGTGCAGGCTCTTGATATGAGAAATCATACAAGAAATCCTCTTACCGCCTACTTCACCGTTCGGGTAGCAATGAAACCCCAGAAAATGACACGACCAACTTCCGCTCGCATATGTATGAGAATACGCCATAAACACACACAAACAAATCTTATTAAAATTTTAAGAGGGGGGGGGGGGGCTTGAAATAATAAACATAAATACAAAGTAAAATGTGACACTCCAACAAAAGGTTGAAGTGCATAATGAAAAACACCACTAGAAAGAGACTCTAGATCTTATTGAGTCTTAAAATGGTTGACAAACTCATTTAGACATTTTATAGAACACCTGACGGGCAGAAAAAAAAAGTGTTTGATTTGCACCAATGAAGCTTGAGAATTTAATCCATGTATAACCTTTAAGCTTGATGATTAAGAAGAATGAATTTCGAGATTAAGAGAAGACTATTCTATTTTTTTTTAAATTTACTCAAAGTGATTGAGAATGAAAAAGTACTACTGAATGGAAACAAGAAACGAGAAGAGTTCTCAACATCTTGAATAATTTATGGCATAGAACCAACATAAGGGACACTGGAACCCATTAGAAGCTCCGCCCAACTGCACATCGATTTGGGCAATAATTTCTAGTAGGGGATTCAATTTTGTTAACACCATCGATGCCATCGATCTTCTTTTCTTTTCTCCGTGCGAAATAAACCCACCACAATAAATGATATGAGTTTAGAGTGTTTAAAAAGAAAAGCGGATTGTTGATAACAGAAAAAAAAAAAAAAACGAGTAAAGTAAGGATATAATGATTAACATATTAGACCTATAATCTGCCAACCGTGATAACAAGCAATAACATATTGACTTGAAATCGAAACCATGAATGAGAACATGTCCCAAACAATGATAAAATCTAAATTATAAGCAATAATTCGAGAAAGGATGAACAAAGTTCTAAGTTTTCTTGATTCATTCGATGATTACAAATGATGAATGAAATGGATATTTAAAGCCTAAAACAACCAACGGTTACAAACTCTAAAGCTACACTTATTAAACATACTAATTAAAAGTTAATCATAAAAAAACTACTTAAGGCTTATTAAATGAACAACATGTAACTTGTCATCTTCCGCCACCTTTAGAGAAACCATGCAAACCCAATGAGCCAGAGTACTCGAACATACTTCATTTCCAATTGCAAGCCTAAGGTCAGTTTGCAAAGGACTTACTTCATCCACACACATATCAACAAACTTTACTAATGCAAATTCTGATTTAGGGTTTGTGTTTTTTCTAATTAAATATTGGCAACTATAACACGGATGTACTCTTCTCTTTTTCTTCTTCTTCTTTTTTCGTCGATTTGCAATAATTCTGAGTAGATTTAGGGTATTAATTTATGGCTATGGTGGTTGAAGTTTGTTATTTTATTTTTATTTTTATTTTTTATTTTGGTTTAATTTATTTCCCATCCACCTCCGACAACCTCGGTTCATCGACCATTCGTAACCCCATTCACCTCCAACAACACCTCCAGATAACCCTCCCGACAATCTCCAACAACCACCACAATTAATCTATACTAACCACCATTAGACCCACTTATTTGTAAAATATTTTTTATTAATAAATAATACATCAATTATTAAAAAAAAAAAAAAAAAAAAAAAAAAAAAAAAAAAAAAAGTGAACAAGAAAATAGATAAGGGGAAATATTATCTTTTCATGTCTATAAGGGATGAAAAACCTAATAAAATGACATCTTTGGGACCATGGGAGTGTAAAAACAGTTAAGACCAAATGCGAAAGTTATGCAAACCGAGACGATTTCAATAAATTGTTCTAAAAAAATATAAAATAAGAAAAACTTATCGAGCCCTTCTGTATAGTATCTAAAAAGGAGGGGCCAGTTAGATATTTATAAAATCCCGCCATAAACTGTCTCATTGGTTCCCGAATCCCAATTCCCATTCTTTTTGTCATCGGCGGTCTCTCTTCAACTCCCACCCACCGGAACCCTAGAGCTAACAATTCAGGTTTACTTTCAAGCTTTCAATTATCTCAACTTCATGATCCTTAGTTGTTTTCACGGTTAATAGATCGTCTAACTTACTAAAATGCGGTTTATTTGAACTTTAAAACCTAGTTCATATACTTCCATTTTTACGTGTTTAATACAAGTATATATAACTCGTTGTGCGATCTTAACTTTGATAATATGAAATCAAATTATCAAACAATCCCTAATTGTTGGTGTGTTTTAGGCATTCATAATACCGTATAACTTGTTCTAGCAATTATAAGGGTAGACATTGGCATGCATGGCGTCATCATGTGGGTTATAATAAGGAATTTAGAACTCTAGAAAGCAGACAAAGCATAAATAAGATAGTTATTACTTATTAGTATCATCGATCTTGAGACTCGAGCATAGTTGTTTTTGATTTGCATATTCGTCTTCTCGTTCCATTCATATATGTTTGAACCAAAGATCATATTTCATTGTATTAATGCAGTATATATGAATTAATGGCTAATTGATGATATTATATAGGAAAAAGTGCATTGCAACATAATCTATTTGGCATTGAATTCTACTTTACAGCCGTGTGGAGTATCCAAACCTTGAGGGACTCATGCAAGCTCATATCCAAAGTCGGGATAGAATCAGTGCTCTTCCTCAAGATATAATTGAAAAAAATTCTGACTCTTATGCCAATCAGAGATGCATTGAGGACGAGCATTTTGTCAAAGAAATGGAGGTATTGCTGGACAGGCATCCAGAAACTTGTATTTGATGACAATCTGGTTAAACAATCATCTAACATGGAGGAAGAAATCGAAAAATATAAGCTTATCAATGCCATCTTCCACGTTTTGTTGCTACATAAAGGTCCGGTATCAGAACTCTGTATTTGTATCACAGATGCAGAAATTGTTAATGAGATTGACCAGATAATACTTCATCTTTCACGGAGTAAAAATATCAAGAAATTCACTTTTGAGATTTCTTCAATCGATGAATATTACAAGTTACCGTTTTCATTCACCTATCTCTCAAATACTGTAAAATTGAGGTTCCATCAATGTTTAATGGATTTAGTATGTTGAAGAGCCTGATCTTTGAAGATGGTATAATCACTGCCAATATGCTTCAACAACTCCTTATTAGCTGCCCATTGCTTGAGGAATTTACTTTGGTAAGGTCCATATTACTACTTATGAAGAAGCTCTTTCAGTTGATACCATCTTACAAAGGTATTTAATTTGATGCAGATTAGGGACGAGCTGGTAGGGTTTACTGAGTGTGAATTGGTTGAATTGTTTAAGTGTTTACCTTCAATTCAGGTTCTGGAAATCATGCAGTTGTTTATCATGGTAATT